TGGTGGGCATGGGGATGTAGGAAACAAAAAGAGCATAATAATCATCATAAACATTTGCATATGAACAATGATCAAGATTACAAAATAGGTGAATTTGCACAATGCATGGTTAAAAATAGATGCAAAGGGATGCGTTTGGATTGTCCTCTTCATTGTGGAGGACCTTGTTATTATGATTGTAGACATATGTGCAAAGCTCATTGTCGTCGTGCCTAAAGGTTTTTCTCGTCAATTGAATGAATCTATTAAGTCATCAAGAATAATATATGTAGCAGCAAGAATGGTGCACCAATCACCTATTTATGGTTCTCACTTGGGAGTCAGAACGAACGGCTGCTATCTATTGTACTATGTTATTTTTGCTATAGTGTGTGGTATTAATTTTGCTAGAAATTAAGTGTACGGAAAATTGGTAGACTCATTGAGATTGGGTTGTAAATTAGTACTAGCAAGTATTGTGTTTTACAATATGGTTTTTTTAGCTCTCTAAATTTGAGGGCTAAAAGTTCTCTTTTATTTTTGATTGATTTTTTTGTATTTGCATAAAGGTTAAAGTGACTTCTACCTTTTCAAGCAAATGAATTATGCCATATTTGAAGATTATTATGAGCGGCTGACTATAAAACTTCTAACTCTATAATATTCTTAATTTTATCTTTCTTTTCTTTTTAATTTATCTAGAATATAAAAAAATTGTCTTTCTTACTTCTTACAACTTCATATTCAGTTCAACTGAAACATATAAAATGAAACGGAGGGAGTTGGATTAACCTAGTTTTGCTAGGACAAATACTTTTTGGTATTAAGACGTACTCTGAAATTTAATGGCTTAAATCGAAGCTTCATATTTTTATTTTATTTTTTCAAAATATTTCTATTGTTCTAATAAATTAAAGACCAAAATGGAGTGTTAGAATATTTTCTGGAATATGTTTTCTAAAAAAGTATTTTCTTAATTTTTCTCAAAAAAATTTATGAAAAATATTTCCTCAAAAAAAAAAACAAATGATAAACAATTGTACGAGCATGAAATCTTTTCTTATTTTCCAAAGAATTAAGTTTATAATCAAATTTAAAGTTCTTTTCTAAGAGAAATCATTTCTAAGTTCACACAATCTAACTCTAGATTGTGTTTATCTAGAATTAAAAACTTAATAAATTAAGTTTTCCACTTTTCTTATATTTTTTACCTATTTAAAGAACTCAAACTCCAAAAACTTAATAACTAAATAGAAAAAAATGTCTTCTTCACTCAAATTTCAATTGTCAATTTTAGTTTACCTCTTCTTCTTTCTATCATCACTCCCCTTTTATGGCTCAACTGCAAGTTTATTCATACCTTTCTTCAACGTAAATGTCATCGATGAATTAATCGATCCATTAGACATGGATTGTGCAATTAACGGTATTACTCAACCAAGAGTTAGTCTTAGACAATCTCATCTTCATAAATATTCTGTTGATGTTGGTTCCCAAGTAGAAGCTACACTACTTTGTAACATGACTTCTGGTCCTAGGTCTGGAAAATTTCTTCTTTTTAAATATAGTAGAGATATACCTAGGTGTGAAATTGCAGACAAAAGGTGCACTTGGAATCTAATGCCAACTGGTTTATATCTCTTCTTCAACTCACAACAGAATCTAATCTTCAATTGGACAATGTCATCATGATAGTACGTTATAAACTCTATGATGATCATAGCGTACTTTTAATTCTTAGTAAAGGAAGGCCTAGAACCACTCCTTGTAATGTTCTCTCTGATGATATATGTTATGATGCAAAAAATAACTATGGATTGTGTTCAACTTCAATTAATTAAGAACTTGACTAATTGAAGGGTAGAGTATATATACCCAGACCTTACCCCTACCTCGTGGAGGTAGAGTGTTTTTTTTTCATAAATCCTCGTCTCGAGTACCAATGTTCATAGATATCCTATTAAAATCAATACTGGCTGATTAGAACCTGTTCTTTTATGTAACATGACTGTTCAATTTTATAGAGATGTACCTAGGTGTGATATCTTGCATAAAAAAGCATGTGCACTAATCTAGTACTATAAAAATCCTACACAATCTTACTTCCTTCATATAATAATTAATATATAGACAAAGAATGCACCTACTACGGAAAATCTAAAAAAAAAAATTAAAAAGGAAATCAAGTAAATATACTTGGCTAAAATGAGAAAAACTTCAAATTGGATATATAAAGATATACATGATCAAACTTTCCCTAATTTGGAAGAGAACAAATATCCTTCTCAAATTAGACACTGTATATTCATAGAAACTAATTCATTATAAGGATTGAGAACAAGAAAACTATGTACTATATAAAGGACATAATAATCCTAAAGAATGAACAAGAAAACCAAAAAAGAGAACAAATGGCTTCTTCTATAGTACTAAACATTCCAATCCTTGTCCTATTTTTTTTGTTCATCACTTGTTCATTTGTAGCTCCTAAACCAGAGAGATACACTATCGACATCTACAATTCGATATCCTTCAAAAATAAGTTACACTTGGAGTGTGACTTAAATGGATTGCAATATGTACCAATTACACTAACACAAGGCACGAGTAAGACTTTTACAGTCGACGTTGACCTCCCGAAACCTGGTGGTAATTACGTGTTGTCATGCTTCATGGATTATGGAGCTGGTAAATATTATGGAGATAGTTGGGTTTTCTTCGATTACCAGAGGGATAAGAGTAGGTGTGCTAACAAAAGATGCACTTGGCAGATTAATGAGAATGGAGCATTCCTACTACTTAGGTTCTATGAATGGGAAGAAGAAGAAGGAATTTAATCTCATACTTAGGTTCTTTGTTTCATTGGTGAATAATGTTTGGTAGTTTCTTCTCAGATGAATTTCTACATCTCTAAATATGTTTATTCAAAAGACATTATTAATTGAAATGTTGCACAAGAAATTGATCAAAGTAAAAGTCACAAAAAGTCTTTTGTGACACTATCGGTGTAATTCTACAAGTGGGGTATGAGGAGGGCTACTTTGTGAAGATAGAGAAGTTGTTTTCGATAGACCCTCTCCCAAGTAAACACCCCACTTGTAGAATTACACCAGGCATGTTGTTGCCGTAAGAAATATGGTCAGCAAGTTTCAATCTCTAGAATATATAGAGTATGAGCAATGCTTTTCAAAAAAAAGTTGAATTGGAGCTTGTTAATGACATGATAATCATTAATATGTTCTTCATTAGCTTTCCAGCATCAACGGGATTCATCTTATAATGCAAAGCATTAAAAATGTTTCTTTTCCTATTGTTTTTAATGGTCATTCATAAGACTTACTTAGACGTGGCACTAGGATTCGTCAAGGAGATCCTTATGTGCTGAAAGTCTAATTACCCAATACAACTATAACTAACAAAATTTCAACATATTTACTAAAATAACATTTCTTTTCTCCAACAATATAGAGGTACTTTTGTTTGCTCTATCAACATGTTAAAAGTGTTTAACTATGTCAATTCTGAACTTGCCACTTATATATAAAATAATACAAGTACATAGAAAATCATAAACTAAACTTAGAGAATTATAGACAAATTTAGAGATGCTCATTTATCCATAACAGATTAAGTCGAATGCAAATACCTGTTTATGCTTTGCATCCATCACTTCAGAAATGAACTATTCCAGTATAAGTTAGCCACTGTCAGCAAGGCTCACCAACTGGGTAACCACATCTTCCAGGTGAGAGAAGTGAGTCAAGAACTTGTCACGAATATCAGTGGAGTCGAAATGGTTATGCTTCCACTCAGAAAGAGCATCACCCATAACCTTCATGCCATCTCTCAGTAATTCCACTCCTTTGGTAACTCTGTTAGGAAATTTTCTTTTTCTATTGGGTTGCTTTTCATTGTCAACCTCCATGGGATCACAGACCATAAGCTTCAGATCAACATCTTTTATCTTTTTCAAGGTCTCTTTCAGCATTTGACCATCCATAGCAAACATGTTGACCGTGTCCGGACAAGGTTTTATCTTTGGACATGCTGATTCCTTGTCAAGAAATGTTTTCAGGTCAGACATAAATCTCTCCTCATCAGCTTCTTTTCCTGTTGCCAGATCAAACGAAAGAGCTGCATCTTCAGGTACATATCTCCAGAGATGATTACAACTACTGCGGGCAGCAAAATATCCAAAGGCTGTGATAGCGAGGTGAACAAGTGCCCAATGTCGCTCTCTAAGCAGCATGCGATACAGCTCCCACACAGCTGAACTCACTGCATTGTCCACTCGGTCTTCCAATTCAATCTCACCAAGGCCAGCCATAAAAGATGACAAGTTTGGTTTGCATTGAAATAATTTTCCATCTGATAATGCTGGTCCAGAGATGAAGAGGTTCTGAAGGGCCAAAATGACTTCTTCCATCTCATTGGAAGTATACAAATGCTTCATGTTAGAAATGATTCCTAGTGTCTCACTAAGAAGCCTGCGATATTTATCCTTTATTTTGATGTCTGAACAATCTCTATACTTGTGAATAATAGCAACAAGGAACTTTATAGTCTTCATCTCAGCATCTGATACGCTGATTAGGCTGCAACAAGAAAAAACAGGAAAAAAGGAACATATTGAATCTAAGTTGGTAATTTGAACTTATCAATAGTAAAAACATAGATAGTGTCTTATAAAAGCTGCATCTATTACAATTATAGAGCAGAGGCCAAAAACACGCTAACACTATAGTCATTTGCTTTATAACTAAAACACCAACTTTCTAAGTCTTTTATTTTATCACTCAATGCAGGTAATAAGAAAAAGTTTAAATAGTTCTGTTCCACAATAAGCTTAAAACTGTAAATTTCAACATTCCATGTTTCTGTTTAACAAGAATAAACATTTGTATTTAGCCAATTAAGTTTGAGAGAATTAGCCAATTCTTGCAAAGGAGTTGATCACATACCGAAACTGCAGAGCGGCAGAAAGAGCAAAAACTGGAGCACCATAAACAGCAGAGCCGCCTTCTCTCGGTAGTGTACCCCCAAAACTCCCAAGGAAGTTAAAGTATTGAGTTACAATTTGTTGCTTTGCCTCACTTCTCAATTTTTCTGAAAGTGCATTTAGTGGGAATCCCTCCATAAGCAAGGCTAAGTAAGAAATTGATGAATAGTGTGATGTGTTATACCCAACCACTGTCTTATAAACTTTATCTACCATAGAATTTGGACCAGATGTAACAAGCACACAGAGAAATCTCGCCATTTTTCTGACCAGACTATCAGGATTTAGTGCAACGTCAGGAGCTTCTGTGTCCTTCATTAATGAGCAGAACTTTTCAATCATGTCGTCTACCACAACTCCGTCAGCATGACGTGAGATAAAGCACCAAAGTTCAGTAATAATCTCACGACAAAGAAAGTGAGGATGAAAAAGGTTTTCAAGAAGAAAAGACTCTATTTCACACCAAGCTTGACTTGAAGAGGTAACTATCATGAAAGTTTTCAAGGCATTGATAATGAAATGGAACAGGGGCTCATCAGATTCTT